GTGTGTGTGTGTGTGTGAGTGTTTGCGTGCACTCTTGTATATTGGGGGAGGGGGGTATTTTTATTTGAGGAAGCTGAGAGGAAAGTTGTCAAAATTCTATTTTGGAGTTAGTAAGAGTTTTACGCTCTTGCAACACAAATAGGTCACAGAAGAGCCAATGTTTAGAGGTTTCACTAGACAGTAACACAGAAAGATAGAAAAGAAATGAGGACGGTAGACTTTGTATAGGGAAGAAGGAGCAAACCACAAAACCAGAGCACCCGCCAACCGGTCAAAATAGGAAAGCTCCATTATACTTTCAGAAGCTGCGTGGGTAATAACCTTATCTGAAAATCACGCCTTTTTCCTGCTCTTAAACGTCATCGATAACATCAGGTATCGTTGTAACCGTATCACATTTTTGGGAGTGTCCCCTTTTATTTTATTATAATAGGCTATTCCTTTCTCAACACGTGACTTTTGACAATGCTCTAAACGATCTATCAACGATGCGATATTCCACCTGCTTCCAAGATCCCTTAAACAAACTGGTAATAGATTATGAACGGGCTTAAATGTGTGTGGTCATATTTATCGGTCCCTTTTGGTTTGGATAGAATTTATCAAGATACTTTCATTACGTTCAAAGCTTTTTCATTTCACTACCATTTTGCAGTTCAAGTTTTGCTTCAGAAAAAAATAGAGGGCTTTACATTGCGCTTTTTTTCAGGCTCGCCTCGCCCACATTCGGAAACAAGTATGTTGGGGACAGTTGCCTTTCGTTTGATCAGATGTCTGAGTGAAAGCGCACGATTAATGAAGCGGCCGTTGTTTGCTTGTTAGATATAAATCTTAATTTGATCCGCTGATTAAGCGAAAACAATTTAGTGAAGAGACTCGGTTGGAGGAAACTGTAGAGAATAAAGATGATAGGATTGCACCATGATTGATCCAAGCACGTTTTGGGCCGTTTCTAGAGCGGTGTGTGAGTGGAACGGTTTTGTGCATTGTTTTAAGAGTGCTCCACAATAACTATTACTAATTAAATATTGTATGAATTATCCAATATTCTAAAAATGAACAGAACATAAATGAACTTTATTCAGGGTATAATTATTGTGTGCATTTCTCTGTTTCTTGCGTGTGTGTGACGGGGAGGGAGTGGAGGAAGGTATTAAAGAGAAGGACCAGTTTAAAAGAGGGTCAATATTAGATATGTTAATCTTAGCCTACCTATCCAATGAAATAGTTTCCTTAGATCAGATCATCTTCAGTTTTCGTTAACAAAAAATCCTAATTTTCGATTGCGAGACACATACTGATCTTTTCCAGCCTTTCACGTTACTACGAGTGGATATATTGTGGTTCTAAAAAAACTTCCCGAGATACCTTAACCCCAAACTTTGAAATCAAACCCACCAACCCATAAAATATGAGTTCCAGTTGTATATATTTTATCTGTTGATTTCCAACCCCGGTGTACAAGATAATAGGTCTGTCAAATTATAATTCTGTGGAAATTATAATCAAACAGAATATAATAACCTGACAGACCACTGGTTCTGTTATTAATACCAGCTTTCAAAAGCCAACCCGTTCAAAGCTTAACCATTGTTTTTGAAAATAGGCCTACATAAAAGTACGAGTCTGCCAGTTCAAAGTTTGATATTCGTTTGGGATACAAGGCCTACATGATATACTTTTTAAAATGTAGACGGTTACGCTCCCATCGACACAATTTAGATTCCTGCTTAACCGCAACACCACAGACGCTGGTCCTACATAATACGAGTATACGAAGAATCGAGTTATACTATGGCAGTCTATTAGATGGAAAGACATGATGATGCATGCCATTTTAGCTCGAAAATCCACTATATTTTCGTCCGGATAAATAGGTTTCCAGACCACAGGTTATCTGATTTATATTCCACACCAAACACAGCCAAAACAAACTAAAAAAGTAACGAACAGCAAACGCGTGGGAACAAGAAAAAGTAATCTTTACTAGGTTTAAGACCGAGCACTTCAACCTCGATAAAACTGTTTATTATGCTTCTTACGAAATATGGTTGGGTTTTTTTTTATCCTCCTTATAAGAAGAACGAAACCAAAGTGCGCTTCGCATCGCAGGAGATCCAAGTTCAATTCTCGAATGGAGGAAAAATCTTTATTTCGGTTTTCGATACTAGAAGATTGTTTCCCTCTCCAACCCGGGCTGGCTTTGACAAGGCAAGGTAAGAAGCTGGCCTCCTAAATTATGATCTAAATTGTGTCGATGGGGGCATAAAAATAATACTACGTTAAGCTTAAAACAAGGTGCGCTGAAAGTGCATTCTATAAAAATGATTTGTGGTGCATAGTGTCTGACGTCAAGGCACTCTTTGATAACTAGAGTATGGTTACATTGTTAATTAGGGTTCAATGAATTGAAGTCATTTATAATGCGCAGCTGTGCGTACAAAATCTAGGTAAATAAGCAATGAGTCCCATTCCGTGTCTTACAACGGCCTATAATATTATATAT